CCCACATGAGCTTCTGAACTGTACCTACACAACCCAATGATCTCCATTAAGCTCATGTCATGAATTCCATTTTAAACCTATAATGAGAACACATTGGTCTATAAACAAAACATTATTGTATTGCAATAGGCTGGACTGGCTTGCTTATTTTCCTCAGCACTAGTATATTAGTGATGGTTTTGTTGATACCTGAAAGAGCCTGCAGCATCCCTTATCTTACAGAAAGGAGGGGTAGACTGGAAATGCCAAAATGGCTGTGGGAAAAGGGCATTATAGTGCCCCCTCTCCTCAACTGATGGCGAGCCTGACAGAGCCAAGGTCAGAGGAACTCCTGATCAGCCAGGGAAAGGGAACGCCTGGTCAGCCATGTTGTCACCCTGGGAGCCACCTGAGATATGCCTGGCTGACTGGCATGCCTACCCAGTAGCAAGGGCCAAAGCACTTCTGCCCCATCTTACCCAGGAAGCGCTTCATCCCTGGCAACCACACAGCTACACCTATTTCTCCTTCAGCCAGGTACATCTCAGGTTTATTGTCAGGAGGCTCCCCTGCTCCAGCCGTACTGCTGCTGTGACTCTGGCAACAGCCACAGCTCATCCTCACTGGCACTGGTTGACCCTGTTCCACCTAGGTCACAGGGCAAAGCATGGTCTGACCAGAGTGACCCCTGTGACTTGCCAACACTAATGGGCTCTAGTCACCTTGCTCCTGATAACTATAGCGTTTCTCATTAGGGCAAAAGAGCTTGCAACAAACAGCTAAGTACTCAGACTGGGAGCAAATGTTGAACTCGTGACCTTAGGGAAATCAAGCAGGGATCCAGCCTATTCTCTACCTTAGTTCTGGCCATGGTTGCCAATCTCCAAGTGGGGCCTGGAGATCTCTTGGATCACCTGGATCCCTGGGGGATATTTGGAAGATCAGGAAGGGTATCTGCATGAGAAGTTGTTCAAGGAAAGGAATATTATTGAGACTGAAGTTGTGTTTTTGTTATTTTATTCTAGTACAGCAAAATATAGCCTACCACCAGACAGGGCAGTCAGCCAGTGGTTGGTAAGCCAGTTTTTAGCCAGTCCTTTCACATGTTCACAGTTTATACAAGTAAAAGGGAAGACTGCATGCTGGTAGCAACCAGTTCTGCTCCTGACTTACACACATTCCTTGGAATAGAGAACATACACACAGAAGTATGTATACATAGGGCTTTTGCTGTGTAATTGGGAATGCTGTGAAAAACACAGTTCTCAACTAGGCAGAAAGAGGCATTTGTGTGCACCTAACAGGTTCTCTGGATTCTGGATAGAGTTTGTAATTGTGAGCCTGTACTCACCTGGTACATTCATTGTACATGCTGAGGACGTGAAAAGGGCTTGGGACTGCAAAATCAAATGGTCTAGGCAAAGATGTTGTAGGTCACATTCAGCTTTCTAGATCAGATGTTGTACAAACTTGTACTAGAGGATTTCTTTAAGTGGTGATGGATAGTTTACTTTAGCCTGCCTGCAATCCATTCATGCTGAAGAGTAGCCATGATATTGTTGTTTAGGCACATAATCGCAGCTACTAAGCCCACAATTAATTATGCTATTAGTCACTGGGCTTACATTGATTATAGCACAGAGGAATTGCTTAACAAAATGAAACCTGCATCTATCTAAATTCAGTGTACCTGCTGAAGCGTTAAACAAATTTCAAGATACAACATTAATTCCATGATGCATCCAAAAGCAAGGGGGGGGAATGAGCATGCTATCATCACTTGGTAGGCCTGTATTCAAGCTGACAATCAAGCCAAAATCGGGCCTCTGCTGGTTGAAATACTTCAACCACCATCCCAAGAACATTGGGATTTAATTTTTCCTCCAATGTGTTCTTATCAGGATGCTATTAGTGATTCTGGGGCCTCAGCTTCACTGAGCGTGGGGAACAGGGCACACTCTCCAGGCACACCATCTGAAGTAGCCTCTTCTCTTACAGCTTGCTTATTTGTATTTATTTCATTGCTAGCAGCCCACCCTTCTTGCTGAGACTCAAGGCAGAGCTGCTATTGCTCTCCCCTCAGCTCATCACAGCCTTCCCGATACCTATCCTAGGTAGGGTTGCCAGCCAATGGCTGGTGCCAGTGGGTGTCAGGTGGGGACAAGGGGCAGTCCATAGAGTTCCCAGCTCCAGGTCAGAAAATACCTGGAGATTTTGGGGGTGGAGCCTGAGGATCATGGGGTTTGGGGAGGGGAGGGACCTCAGCAGGGTACAATGCCATAGAGTCCACCCTCTTAAGCAGTCGTTTTCTCCAGGGCAATTGATCTTTATTATCTGGAGACCATTGTAATTCTGGGGTCCACCACTGACATTACAGTGTGATATCAGTTCTGGGGAAAACCATAGAGTTTCTGGCAATTCCCCGAGAGATGTGACATCACCTTTTTGCACCAACAGTTTGTCTTAGTTCTCTGGTAATGTTATTAATGAAGAATGTAACAGTGCATATGGAAGTTTCTTCAGCCTAAGCACAAGTATTTCAATTGGCTTAGAATGGAGCAACTCGGTATAGGGTGGCAAAGCTACAGTGCCACCTGAAGCAGAGTTACACCATTCTAATTCCATTGAAGTCAATGGGCTTAGAAGGGTGCAACTCCACTTAAGATGGCATTGCAACTCATCTATGCACTTAAGCCTTTTGTCAGTCATGATGTGGGAAGGAGTTGCAGGGATGTGAAAGTACATGATGTCAAACTAACATGAACAGGCACTCTTTTTTAATTTAAAACATTTCTTTGCAGCCTTTCCACCCAATTCAGGGCCTCCAAGGTAGCAAACATTACAATAATTCTTTATATATATATTTATTAATTATATAATTGAAGGGGTACAGAAGAAAAAGGGGGGAGGGTATCAAAAACTCATTAATCATCAGAAGCTTTTACATTTTACATTTATTTTGAACACAATTCTAATATATAATATAATATATAGATCAAGATTGTAGGATGTCTTCTCAGCTCAATGGCATGAATTTCTCAGAATATCAGTATGTGGTGTTTTTTTAAGCATAACAATTTTTAAACAGTTTGATATAGCAATTTTGGGTAGCATTTATAACTCTTTCTAGAAAGAAAATTCTGCATATTGCTTACTTAATATTATTTTAAAACTTTTTGATAAAATAGATATATTACATTGATGAATAACTAGAAAGATTTTTTTACATTAACAATGACTATGATTACTTCAAGAGGTGCCAATTTTTTATTTCAGGTAATACGGACTTTTCATCAGTTATTAGCCTTTACCATAATATGAGTAATATGCTTTCCATTTCTGCTGAAATTCTTTAATTGGTCTTTTGTTTACCTGATTCATTAACTTTGCCATTATAGCATATTCGGCTAATTTATCACACCAGGCTTCTTTTGTTGGTCAACATTACATTATTTCAAGCATTAAAAAGCATTTAAACTACAAATATCTATCTATAACGTAAAAACTATTTTAAAAAGCATACAAACAGGGAGGAGAGCTGTTGTGGATGTGGGACAGATGGGCAACATATACTGGACAGTATTGGAGCTGGAAGGCTGAGTTGGCATCCCAGAGACTGGCAGAGTGTGGGAAAGATACACTTCACTGGCTACAGAGGTCCATTTATAATCCAAAAAGAAAACATGCTAGCTCTTTGATTGGAGGCACCATGTTCTGGCAGGCTTAAGCCCTGGGATCTGGAACCTGGATTGGCTAAGGCCCCAGGAGCCCATGCAGGGCAGGGTCTAGGAAGGGGGAGCTGTTCCTTTGTCTGGAGTCCATTGCTTTTTGCTCTTGTTTGGCTGGCATGAGAGGGGAAGCTCACATGGGTCATTTTTGATGGTTACAAAAGGATGCTTACACATGCAACTTGGGGGGGGGGTCCAGTATGCAACCAGCAGGCAGTCTCCTTCCATGTTCAAGGATTGTAAGTGAACTAGCCAGTAACCTTTCTTTCATGTATCTTTTTATATTGCTTAGCTGTACCTAGATCTGTCTTGAGTTGTGCGGTATGGTCAAGTCATAAGAACATAAGAGATGCCAATGTTGGATCAGGCCAAAGGCCCATCCAGTCCAACACTCTGTATCACACAGTGGCCAGAAATACCAGTGCCATCAGGAGGTCCACCAGTGGGGCCAGGACACTAGAAGCCCTCCCACTGTTGACATCTCCCCCAAGCACCAAGATGACAGAGCATCACTTGCCCCAGAGTCCCTATCTATACCTTGTGGCTAATAGCCACTGATGGACCTCTGCTCCATATGCTTATCTAATTCCCTTTTGAAGCCGTCCATGCTTGTAGCCGCCACCACTTCCTGTGGCAGTGAATTCCAAGTGTTAATCACTCTTTGGGTGAAGAAGTACTTCCTTTTATCTGTTCTAACCCGACCGCTCAGCAATTTCATGGAGTGCCCACGGGTTCTTGTACTGTGAGAAAGGGAGAAAAGTACCTCTTTCTCTACCTGCTCTTTCCCATGCATAATCTTATAAACCTCAATCATGTCACCCCTCAGTCGTCGTTTCTCCAAGCTAAAGAGCCCTACGCGCCTTAACCTTTCCTCATAGGGAAAGTGTCCCAACCCTTTTATCATTCGAGTTGCCCTTTTCTGCAGTTTTTCCAAAGCTATAATATCCTTTTTGAGGTGTGGTGACCAGAACTGCACACAGTATTCCAAATGAGGTTGCACCATTGATTTATATAGGGGCATTATGATATTGGCTGATCTGTTTTCAATACCCTTCCTAATAATCCCCTGCATAGCATTGGCCTTCTTTATTGCAGTCACACACTGTCTCGACATTTTCAGTGAGTTATCTACTACAACTCCAAGGGAATGACAAACCAAAAAAAAAGAGCTTTACTTGCTGGTAGAAGACAATAATAGAGGGAGACAGAAAAATCTTCCTGGGAGGGAGTCCCAAAATTTCTGCATCATGACCAAGAAGACCAGTTTGCCACCTGTCTTCAGGGCCTTCAAAGATGACTGGAATGGTCAGGTAAGCTTGTATAAGAGTAGGAAGTCCTTCAGGTACCTTAGTTAAACATGTGTGGACCATCTCATTTATAGAAATGGCAGGATTACTATATCTTCATAGCATGTCAGTCATGTCTTCCCTCTAACATTTAAAGAGGAGATGGGTGTTCGCAAATATGAACACACACTATGCCCAGTAAAATGAAAGCCTCCTCTATCTAAATAATGTATACCTTGAACAGCATGCATGTGTGCAAACAAGTCTCCAAATATAACATAAAATACATTATCAGGAACTGTAGCTACCTAGGAAACTCTTATGTAAAGTACAGATTTTTGTGGCATTTTATTTATTATAGGAAATAACGTTGAAAGATGTTACGACTAAAGGAAACATAAAATGACAAAAATAAAGCAAGGCTCATGGTTTTGATTTGCACAAAGGACAGACCGGATTAAAAAAGAGGTTTTCAAGGCAAAACGGTGGGGTTGCAGAACCTGGTACCATCCTAAGTATCAGCCAGCGGTGCTTCAGGTAGCAGAATAATAGCTATAGGTTAGAGAGCTTTTGTTTTTTAAAAAATCAAGGACCTTTGTTACTGCCACACTGTGTTCCATTAAAGTATAACTCCTTAATAAAAGGATGAATGCATCAACATATGCATTTTATTAAGTGATGAGATAACAAAACAGGAAAGGGATAGGCAAGGGAAAGGAACAGAAGACAGTGAGAGAGCACAGCAGAAATCAACAACCCAGTAGGCAAAGAATGATGTAATGATTAGTTATAAGAGTGGTCCACGATTATCCCACCTCCCAAGGAGATACCTTCTCTGCCAAACAGTGACAGTGTTTGTGCTATGGAATACGCCCTTATTCTAAAACTTCTTGACCTCAGAATTCTCACATTTCTGTTGGAAAGATTATGGATTATACAATATCTTACACAAACATATTTACTGGGATAGCCCCAAAACACACTGAATCTCATATATGACTCATTAAAGCGGCCTTTGGCACTCACTGTTGGATAACCTCAATTTATTACAATCAAACAATCACACTAGCAACACGTACGATGCAATGTTTGTTTACATTTGAACAATAGCCAGAATATCCGTCATAATATCTTGCTTTAACAGGAAAATTATTCCTTGGCACTGAAAATGAGTAGAGAAAAAGTGGGCAAATAATTTAGAGTTCCAGTTCCCAAAACATGAAGGATGAGAAACTGGCCTTATTACTTGTCCAGTCATTCCCAAAATGTTTGCCAGGCCATGCTAACATAACTATAAGAAATAATTTAAGCCATGTAAAGGTTCTTCAGTATCTATGAATGTAAATAAAATAGGTTGTTAAGCAAATATCCATTTTCCCAGTGGTCATCTGCAAGGACTCTGAAGATCTTGACCCAGGATCTCACCTGTTCCAAAACACTTGAGCTTGGGTAGCCACCAAGGACTTGCACCCCAGTTTTCCTCAGGAGGGGCCACCCTTGAGGAGAATTAAGAATACCATGGGATATTCCCACAGGTCAGGCTATAGGTTTTTTTCTCATCTCCACTGGACAAGCCTCTATTCAGTCTCCCCCTCTGTTTCCAAAAACTAGGAAACATGAGATCTCAGTCAGGCACATTGGGCGAATTTTCTGGATTTCAGATTCACCACTGACAGTAACAGGTGCAATGAAGTATATTACTAAGACACAGGGACAAAGGGAAAGGTTCAAAAATAGTTGGGGGGAAGGAAAAGGTTCATGTTTGATTTATATCTGAAAATGTTCATGGAGGCAGTTTTGGGATGCTTGAGACACTTTTTGCTTTACCACTTGAGTGGAGCAGACAAGCACTTTTTCACTGCAGTGACTCAGGAAAAGTGTGATATGAGTGGACTTGCTAGGGGAATTGTTTTTCACACAGACTTTGGTCTGAATCCTAGAGCACTTTGGCAACATGTCACTTCCAGATATTTCCAGGAAGTGATGTTGTGCCATTAGTGCAATGTCATTCCCTCCGTCCCTCTTTTCTCCCTTTTCTACCATTTGCTAGCCAATGGCTGACAAACATTAGAGGTGTGTCCTGAAATTCCACTCTTCTCAGGTGTGTGCCCAATTTAAATCAGCGATGGAGCATGGAGATAGGTTTGCTGAACTCCAGGTGAGGCCTGGAGACCTCCCCAAATTACAACTGATCTCCAGACTATAAAGATCAGTTCCCCTGGAGAAAATGGCTATTTTAGAGGGCAGACTATGGCAATATACCCTGCTGAGGTCCCTCCCAGAGCTACGCCCCCCTCCATTTTCCCAGCCTGAAGTTGTAATATTCATTAAGCATGCATATGGCTATGACAAACATTACACTGAAAGAATCAAGCAGAATCAGGTAACCCAGGACAGCTAACAGCCAGTCTGGGTATTCTAGAGAAGTAATGAAAAATGAAGACAGGAATAAATGGTACTTTCTCTTCCAAGACCTCTGGATTGCACTTAGATCAGGAGAGGGCAGGTTGGTGGGAACGTGATATCTGGGAACAGACAGTGCATGGTGGTTACACACGTTTCTCCTTGAGGAAAGATATTGTTGTGTACCAACTTAGACTGCGTATGTGGTCGCTCTGCACTCGCGGTCAGCTAGGTAAACCAGAGCTTCTATCTCAGAGACAATGGGCACCTAGGATCCTAGTAACAGCCTATCGGCTGACCAGGATCCTAAAGGAACCCTATCAGATGTAGGATTATGTAAATAGCCAATCACGGGTGTATGGGTGTGTGTGGGTGGAGTGGTTGTTGTGCATTTAAGCAGTATGAGCTGAAAAACACTCAACTATGCATCAGTCTCAGTACCTTTCAGATATGTAGATATAGGGAGAGGAAACAGTGGTGAAAAGTTATCTGAGCAATCAGTGGGGAGGACAAACAAGTAGAGAAGACCCTTTACATGTCCCATAACTATCTTGGACAATCTCATACAAATAAGACTCCTGAAACAGTGAACACTGGTTCCTTTATTTCAAGCATTATAGCAAAGCAATGGGGTTTTTTTTCTTTAAGCGAAAAGCAGAACAATTTTTTCCGACTGATCACTTAAACTTATGCCCTACTCCTGTTGCATGCTGATCTGCAGACCCTAGAGATTCTTGTATATACATAATGTTCAATGTTTGGCGGTTCAAACTGAATCCAATCAATCACATGTTTACAAACCATACATTTGTGTCTTAAGTCTATTCTCTATGCTCCCTTAAAATACATTAACAAGCTTTCAGAATATTAAATGCAGGCTCTCTTTTGCAGCTGCTTTCAGCCCTATTTTGCTCATGCCTCAGCGGATTTCCTTTCACATTCTGAGTGAATTGGGGGGGGTCAGAAGGGAGAGCCGCTGCAGTGCAGGCTCAGCACAATTTAATGTACTGAGTCAATATAAACAAACTGTAATTCACTAGTCCATTTCACAGTGGGGGGAAAATAATTTTTACAGAAGGGTTGTGTTTTACCTCATCCAAGACATTCCCCAAGATCATACAAGTGTCACAACAGCATCTGTCAGCTGCTGGAAAAGCGTAGCCTGTTGTCATGTCAAGGCACAGAGCCACAATTTAAGTTCCAAACTAAGGGTACTTGTATAACTTAAACACTCCCAACTACTGCTATATCACTCAATAACATAGGCCCAGGCCAAGTCTCTTCCCTCCTGTTTCCTGCCAGACTATAACTCTTAGCAAGTGGTGCTTCCAATTCAGCCACTATTATACATAAAACACACTTGTGTATCAGGGTGTTTTTTGGGTGGGGAAGGGGGTGGTATTCACCAGTACTGAGTACTAACCCCTTTGTGGGGGGCCCTTAGTCCTGATGAGGGAATTGATACAATCTTAAATACCGGGACCTTTTTTTAAAAAATAAAATACATACACAAAAGCACTGCTTCTGTTTATCTGCCTAGGCCCTATGCAGCAAGTAACCATACAGGGAATAGAACCCCTTCTCTATGTGTCCCCTTCAGGTGAGGTGCCTTCAAGGAGCTTGGTATACTCCTGGAGATTGAAAGCCGTGTCTCAAGATGGTGGACTTGGGGGATGGGAGGGAACTCAGCAAAGGTGTGACATTACATCCTGTGATAACACATCCTAGTCAGATCCTCCAACTCCTCCCCTTCCTGTGAGGTCACATCTCACCAAAATACAAATTTTAAATTTAAATTTCCTTTGTATCATTCCTCATTTCTGCCTTTTCCCTAGTTTTTACCACTTGTAGGCTTCTGTATGGCATAACAACAGTTTGAGCCTAACTAGCAGCTATTACATTCCTCTCAATATACAAAGACCTTGCAAAATTGTCTTCATTTTCCTAATAGTTAAGGAGAAAAAATCCATTAAGACCCATAGGAGGTTGCCAGCTGACAGCAATCCCAAACTTCTCTCAATCACAAACCAACCTCTGGACTTTAGTGCCTTTATAAGTAACAATCAGTGTTTCTCGTCACCATGCTATCTGATAAAAGAAGCAGAAGTCGTAGACCATCCACCCTTTGCAGCCATTCTGGGAAAGCCACTTGTCCTAGACTCAGTGGTATACCAATAGCACTCTGAAAATGATATTTTCTCCAGGGAAACTGATATATGCAGTCTGGAGATCAGTCATGATTTCAGTAGAATGCCAGCTCCCACCTTGAGGTTGATAACTAGCACTTTCTCAGTTGTGGCACCTCTTTATTCTATTCAACTGAGTTTTAGGTGTTAAAAGTTAAAGGTTCCCTTGCTCGAAAGCCAGTCAAATCCGACTCTAGGGCTCATCTCCGTTTCAAAGCCGAAGAGCCAGCACTGTCCGAAGACATTTCCGTGGTCATGTGGCCAGCATGACTAAACATCAAGGTACCTGAAGTGGTACCTATTTATTGACTTGCAATTTCTTGCTTTCGAACTGCTAGGTTGGCAGGAGCTGGAACTAGAGACGGGAGTTAACTCCGTCATGCGGCAACTCGGGTCTTGAACTGCTGAACTACCAACCTTCCACAGCCTGCAGTTCAGCGTCTTAACCACTTGAGCCACCGCAACTCAAGTTAGGTAAAGACATTTTGTTTTGTAGGCCCTCAGTGTAGGAAACATCTGGCCTTTGTTTTTCCTCTTTGGGGTTAGTTTTAAATGAGTCTGTAAACCCAGCCAGGGGGCATTCCCTCATTGTAGTATCCCATCTTTCCACCACTTTACTAAGGACCATCCAATAACTGCTTTAATTGATCCAGTCACTTACAACAGCCAATTTATAATCTTAATAGCCAGTCTAGCCAGGCAGTCAATCAGCCAATCAGCACTTTCCCCGGCTTTAACCCAGGCTGCAGGTCAGCTTCCAGGCATGGGCTTCTCCCCAAACCCTTTCGCTACTGCCTCAGACCATGGCACCCTTCCAGCCAAGTTAAGCCCAAACAAAGCTCCTTGGTCATACCCAAGGAGATAGTACCTGCTTTACTCCTGACAAGAAATATTGCCTGCCTACTTCCAGGGAGCTTCTCATCTTTCCAAACTGCAAAATCCTCAAGCCTGGCTGGCTGTTCTCCTTCATAACTGTGCTAGTCAGCTACTTCTTCCTACTTCAGGGGCCTTTTATACCCCTTCTGGCAACACTGGCTTGCTGTCTCCTTTTCTTGATGCCTGAGACAGCTCTTTCTGTCCAGGACACCTCTACTCCAAAGGGGACCTTTGCTCCATAGGGAGCTAGCGCTTGCTGTCATTCCTCCTGTCTGCTTCTTAGTTACCCTTGGAGACCCACCTTTGCCTTACTTGTTGTCCCTTGCAGCTGTGCTTTCCTTTTCCTTCCCCAGCATTAGGATGCCCTGGCATGTGACATACCTGCTTGATCACTGCTGCAATTTTCAACTTGGGTTTCAACCTGGATTTTAATTTGAGTCTTGGTAGTATTAGATAAACCTGCAATCGATTTCATCTTCTGACGATGGTTTTTCTATGCCATCTCATGATATATGGTCTAAAAATAAAAATCATGATAGTTTGTGTCCTTCGAAAAAGTTTGGAATACTTGTTTTGAATCAGTGACCTCTCGTAACTGACCATTTTAGAATGACCAAAAGCACTGAGCTCCTGTACCTTTAATAGGTGTGGGTAAGCCAGAACTCTGATAGATGCCTCTTAGAAGAATAAGAAGAGATTGGATTTATACCCCACCCTTCACTACCCAAAGGTGTCTCAGAGCGGCCTACAAACTCCTTTCCCTTCCCCTCCCCACAACAGGCACCCTGTGAGGTAGGCGGGGCTGAGAGAGCTCGACAGAAACTGCTCTTTTTTCAAGAACAGCTGTGCCAGAACTATGGCTTGCCCAAGGTCATCCAGCCGGGTGTAAGTGGAGGAGTGGGGAATCAAACCCGATTCTCCCAGATTAGAGTCCGCGCACTTAACGACTACACGAAACTGGCTCTCTTACACTACTCTTACACTACAGAAGTAAGAAAGGCTGCACCTGTTGAAACTCTCTATTAAAGGGCCACATGATTTTGCAACTATTGCAACTCACCAAACTGACCATAATTTCCAGGGGCTTGAAGAACTTTGTGCTGTCTGCCTGAAGACCAAACTATGCAAGACAGCAGCAGATTGGTTTCTGGATCTCCCTGTATATGTTGCTGGTGGACTGGGTTCAATTTATGGTTTATAGACTGTTAGGGTTGTCCAGTTTGGGAAATTCCTGGAGATTTGGGGATGGAGCCTGAGGAGGGACTTAAATTGGGCATAATGCTATACACCCCACCCTCAAAAGCAACTATTTTCTCCATGGAAGCTGATCTCTGTAGTCTGGAAATCGGTTAGTAATTCCAGGAGATCTCCTGGCCCAGCCTGGAGGATGGCAATTCTATAAATTGTAGAGATCTGCTTTAGGCCCACTCTTTTGACCAACAGTTCAAGGCTGGGGCTCTGTTACATTTCAAAGTTTTTAACTCTGATCCTTTTTTTTTTCTTTAACAGCACTGAGAAAATGCCACCAGGAACCCCCATAAATGCATATGCTCAAGTCCAGCTACAAGAGGTTCTCAAAAAAATTCGAGAAAGGACAGCCACGTATAAAGAAAGGCTAAAAGATCCAGTCCTCTCCTCACCTGAAGTCAGTCCAACAGCTTGTAAGTTCACTGAGTTCCAAGTCTACTCTTATAAACGTTAAAATGAAAACTGGACTGTCATATACACATCTAAAATGCTTCAAAACAATAAGCTAGTGCTGGAGGTGATAGATTGGTTTAAACTATATTGTTGCCAGTTGCATTCACTGTTTGTGAAATTGTCAGCTCTGAGAACCTGGTCATAGAGATCAGGGCTTCATAACCTGAAGTTCTATTAAACCAAACACATTGTGGCCAACCAGGTGATCAGCAGCTCCCTGTTCCATTTTTGCAGTCCCAAATAGACGACACACACAGGTTGTATTTGGCCAGGCTGATTACAAGTTGAAGTTGTGTTGTATAAATTGTGTTGTATAAGTTGGGCATGGATGTCATCTGGCAGAGTGTTCCACCAGACAGGGGCCAGGACCAAGAAAACCGTTGCCCTGGTTGAAGACAGTCGGACGTCTCTTGGGCCAAGGACCACAGGGAAGTTCTTATTTCCTGAGCATAATGCTCTTCCAGGGGCATACTGTTCCATATGACCTGGTGCATCACACTGTTGTACAGCATGAACTGATAAAGCATCTGTATCACATCCAGCAGTCACCACTGTCTGTGCATTGAAGCAAAAGATCAGTGATGGTAGCCTGGAACTGGCTGCAAAATTCATAGATGCTATTTTGCCATTACTAGTCTTCTCAGTAAGGGAGATGTGGTTCCTCAGAGCACTGTTCAAAACACAGTGCTCTAAAAGATTATTGGTGTAAAGGCAACTATTCTATACTATTCATACTTTAGACTCTAAGCGGGTTTTTATATATCTGCATTAATGAGGACCAAAAGTATATCTGAGTGGCCAAAAGCTTACGTGTGAATCCAGGAAGGAAATGTCTGTTATGAAACAGAACAAAATTCTGGGCATAAAATCCATCTTTCATTTTCATTAAGGAATACAGCTTTGTCAAGTAGAATTCAAGAAGCCATAGCACCATTCTTAATTAACAAAATAAACGTATATTTCTTAGTCTGCAGTGCGCCAGGAAGGAACTATATAGACCACATATTCTATCGTTCACTGGGAATGGTATCCATAATTCTGCTGAGTTGAGTTTAACAGGCCAGACAAATTTAGTAGGATGATTAAGACAGAAGAAGAAGAGGTTGGATTTATACCTTGCCCTTCACTCGGAGTCTCAGAGCGGCTTACAAACTCCTTTCCTTTCCCCTCACCAAACAGTCACCCTGTGAGGTAGGTGGAGCTGAGAGAGCTCTGACAGAAACTGCTCTTTTTCAAGGACAGCTCTTATCAGAACTACAACTTGCCCAAGGTCATCCAGCCAGGTGCAAGTGGAGGAGTTGGGAATCAAACCTGGTTCTCCCAGATTAGAGTCCGTGCACTTAACCACTACACCAAGCTGGCTAATGAAAGCTCATCTATTTTTTATGTTTGCCAAGAAAGGAGAAGACTGAAATTTCAGACACTAACTATTTCATCTTTATAATTCTATGCAAATACACAATCTTTTACCTCTCCTTTGACTGGAGATTTTGATTTTCCTTGCTGAGATGAATTTATTCCCCAGGACACCTCTGAGAAATATATTTTATTTCTTTAAGCAATCTATATTCTGTCGCCTGCTTTAAAAAAAAGAAAGGGACACTTAAGGTGGTTTTCAAGTAATACCAAGAAGCAATAAAAACATTAGCTGATAAAAATGACAAAGCCACAGTACAAAATAAATAGCATGAACAACAATAGCAAGCATACAAGCCAAATCAATGAAAATCAATGTGAAAATAATATTCACTCCACATCACAGCCTTGGTGGGACTTATACCTAAGATGCCGAAACCAGCCTAAGCTGTGGAGAAAAGCACTCCTGGCCATCCCTGCCAACTGGTCACTAAATAGTAGTGATAGATCTGGGAGCATCCTTAACCTGTGGGTCTGATCCTTCAGCCTCATCCACAACAGATTGTATATCTATTTTCAAATCATCTTTAGCCTTCAGTTGACACCACTCCCACATCCAGTCCCCCAGTGTCTCCAAGTATCAGTTGTGTACTGACTATAGCTGTTGAGGAAGGTGGAGGTGGTATTGCAGACGCCTACAGGATACAAAATAAGTTGTGCATCCTGCTGGATTTTGTGGCCAAAATGATGGTGCAGATTTGAGTAGTGCTTTCAAGCAATATCTGTGAAAAGATAGAACTAATTCCAGGCAGCACAACCATCACCAACACAATGGACAGGTATATACATTGTGGTTGGACTCTTGTGGTCACTCCTGTATTGTGGTCACTCCTATTGGTTCATATCCATTACGAGTAAGATAACCTCTCTTCTTCATGCCAGGAACAGTTTAATGTTTTCTATTTTTTAAAAAAGATACATTTAAAGATGATCATCTGTACATGTACATAGATCCAGGTGGGCAGCTGTATTGGTCTGAAGCATTAGAACAGAGTCCAGTCAGGGCCGGCTCTAGCTTATTTTGCACCCTAGGTGAGGATCCCTTCTGGGGGCCCCGTGCACCCACCCATTTTCAAAAATAAATGCATTTAAGGAAGAATGAAAAACACAAATAATCAAGAAACTCCCAGAGTACGGGGCCGGGTGCAGTTTGGTGCCCCTAAGGGCCGTCCTGCTCTAGGCGATCGCCTAGTTCGCCTAGTGAGTGAGCCGGCCCTGAGTCCAGTGGCACCTTTAAGACCAACGAAGTTTTAGCTGAGGACGTGTGCGTGCACACAAAAGCTCATACCTTGAATGAAAGGTGCCCCTGGACTCAAACTTTGATCTGTTTGTATAGTTTTTGTACTTCTGTGTTATTGGGTCTGAGAGAAAATAGGGTAAGAACATAAGAGAAGCCAATGTTGGATCAGGCCAATGGCCCATCTAGTCCAACACTCTGTCACACAGTGGCCAAAAATACCAGGTGCCATCAGGAGGTCCAGTAGTGGGGCCAGAACACTAGAAGCCCTCCCACTGTTGAGTGTTGAGGGTGAGCAAGCAAGCAGTCTCTCACACACGCATACTTGGAAAGGTTGTGTGGGAAGCAATCTTAGCAGCCCTACTCAGAAGCAAGTCCCATTTTATTCAATGGGCTTAATTTCAGGAAAATATTTTTAGGATTGCATCCTTTGTTTCTAAATTAGAAATGAATTTCACTAAATCATAAACCCTACCATACTATCTAGTCAATTTCACTTTTAGTCCTTGCCTTTTTAGGGAAAAATTCTATAGCTAGAAATTAAAATGGGATTGAACAGACTTTTTGCAGTGTGGTGCCCCTCATTAGTTATCAGGCTGACAATACCAGATCAGGACAAGTGCCATGACCACACTTGCAATACTTAACATGTTGTTCCAAGAAGATAATTAATAAAAAGGACTTGGATCCAGACTAGGTTGCAAAATTCCTGCCCACATAGCCTGATTCCCTCCTTCTCTGGCAACCCAAAATGCCTCCCAAAATCCTATTCTTGGAGGACAGGAGACCCCCTGAAGCAGGATTGGAGGGCATTTTGAGCTGCTGGGGGAGAGGGAATACAGAAAAATTTGCCTCCTTGTACCTATGGAAATGTTAATCTGGAGCCAACCTGGTTTCCCCCCACATTTTGTAGGCAGATGTACATATTAGTGTTGATTTCACCCCTTCTACCTCTCTTCTGAAACTTCAAACATAAATATTGCTGACACTTAACAGAGGCCACCAATGAGTGAATGCTAGATTACATAGTTTGCTGTAGCTTCAAAGGTCTTTATTACGGGAAATGTATATTAAAGGAAGTCTCTTTGAAACTGTGTCCAGCACCCAAAAAGGAAGCCCCACCTCCCCCACCAAAAGAAGAAGAGAAAAAAGAGGTGAAAAAGGAAGAAGCTGCCGTACCAGAGGAAGAACACTATTGTGACATGCTATGCTGTAAATTCAAGAGGCGACCCTTCAAAGAATACCTGAAGAAACTAAAGCTACCACAAAGTATGGATCCATTGACAGGTAGGAAGAATGCTTTCTCATAGAAAAAGCTGCTGTAGATGGGATGGAACTATTGATGGCTTATCAAGGGGTCATAGAGCCTATGAAAACCTCAGAGGAAATGTTAAGCCAGGAAAGTAGGTAGGTTAGTAGGGATGGGCATGATGAATTTGTGATGAACCTTTGTGATGAATTTTGACTGGTTTGTGGTTAACGAACTGAAGTCCGTGAACTGCAGCCCGGCCACAAGCCTCCACAAACTTTTAAGGCAGTTCGTGGAGGTTCATGGGAAGCGGGAGCTCCCTACTCCTCCCTGTAAAAGCTGCCAACACAGCTGAGCGACGAGAGCAGGTTACTCCTTGTCACTCAGCTGTGGTTCAGCCGCAAAACAAACTGCAAAAATGTGGTTTGTACCCATCCATATAGATTAGTATGAGTAGTTTACTCCATTCATTACTAAAACAAAGCATCTGTAATTCCAGACATTAATTCTGTCCAGTAATTTCCAACTTTTTCAGCCTATATCCCACCTTTAATTTTACTTTTAAATCTTGGGATTGGCCACAGCTCCTGACTACATACTGGGGATGCATGCTTCCAGACATGTATCATGTTCCTTGGCCTTTAAACAGCAGTGTAATGCATACATCATAGCGATGTCTTGGAGTTTGTTTGTTTTTTAAATTATATGGCTTAGATCAGTGATCTTCAGTATTGCACCCAATGTTTTTTTCTAGAATTTTTTGCTTTGGGAGGATATAATCCAAAGGGTCTTGAATGGAGCAGGTGGAAAAAACTGGGAGCTTGGGGTCACTGCCTATCAGCTGCCTAACCAGCAAAGTGTTGGGTTCATCATAGGTACGGTACATCACAGCTGTGCACACTCATCTTGGCCACTGACACAGGCTGTCATATGAAAATTCTCTGGAAATTGGAGCCAAAGAACATTGTTTCCCCAAAGTGAAGAGCCAATCCTGGATTTTCTTTGCCTCCTTGGGACAGGAGGTACTTCAGGAGGGAGGAAGAGGCATCGCCTGTGATCTGCAAGGATAGCTTAAAGTAGATGCCTCTATCATAGAAGGATGCATGGCACAGGACATTTTTATAGAACTGAAATATGTTTTGTGATTAGCTGCCATGGGGAAGGGTGGAGCCTTTTTTGTGGTGGTCCCCAGTACCCTTTCTTAACAATCTGACAGGATCAAGAAGACTGGGTATGGGAACGTCATATTTAGTTAACACACTGTCAAGTTTCAAACAAAAAGTTTTAAAAGAGATGCAATTTTTTTTCCAGATCGTTTCTATGTTACATGGTTATTCTTCGTCACCCTTGCCTATAACTGGAACTGCTGGCTCATCCCAATGCGATGCATGTTCCCAGTTCAAACAACTACCAACTTGGTATACTGGGTCACTATGGACGTCCTCTGTGACCTCTGCTACCTCTGTGATCTGCTGATATTTCAGCCCCGATTACAATTTGTAAGAGGTGGAGATATCATAGTAAGTAAGGAATGGGTAGGAGGTAATGTACACATTTAATTCTGTCATTTCAAACATGGCTCTTTTTGTTTGGAATTAACACTTATATGAAATTGCCTTTTTCTCTATCTTCAGCTCCTGCTTTGAAAAACTCCTTTCCTCTGAAATGTTTGGCACTGGGCCATAGACATTATTCCCCTGCTGTAACTAACCCTGAGCACAAGGAACTGCACATGCATTCTTCATGTATATGTTTACCTCTATCTTCTTCCCCGCCCTACTTTGCCTACCCTTGTGTCAAAATTTAGATTATAAGCCCTGTTGGACAGAGATCTGTTTTTTCTTTGTTGAAATATCATACACTAGAAGTATAATTATTATGACCACATTCTGTGGCTACAACCAGATGACAGTAGTGGGCACAGACTCTTAGGTGCAGAGCGTGATTTAAGGCTTTCTGCTTTTGGGAAGCACATAATCAGGCCATGCTTTGCTGTAATATCAAATTTTATTTTTGTAATGTACTCCGCCATTACCACGTGCGTGACCACAAGCCTAAAGCTTCGTTCCTTGTAAATAACCTATAGGGTGAATAGGGGCGTGTTTTGGTGGTGGGTTTTCTGTGCATATATACCAGCCTGCGAGCCGGCTTACTTTGTCTTGTTCCTGCTTATTAAGTACTCTTGCTGAAATCACTCCACGTTTCTGAGTACTTTTCACTGGTGACGAAGGTGGGATACTACCCTTCCTGAACAACGACCCGGAGGAGATCAAGCATGCACCGAGCCCGATCGAGACCGCCGCCGCTCGTCTTGGATCACCGCTCAACCGCACTGCGCCTCGCTCCGTCAGACCAAGCAGGGCATCGCCATCGCCTCGCATCGCCCTCACCGCGTTGTCGCCGTAGCAACTCGCCTTGCCACGCCGCGCTTGTTTGCCCTGCCAGCCTAGCCGCGCCTCGCCGTGCCTCGTTTTCCCGTGCCACGCCGCGCTCGCTCACCCTGCCAGCCTAGCTGCGCCTCGCCTCGCCGCAGCCTCCCAGCACCGCCTCGCAGCTCCACGCAGCCTCCTCGCCTCCCGGCAAGTTCGCTCACCTCTCCTCGCTACCTCGCCTCGCGGCCAGCCTCGCCTCGCCTCGCCAGCCTCGCCGAGCGGTCAAGCGGACAAGCGAAAATGTCGGAGCCAAATGCCACCTCTGCATCCACCTCCTCTACTTCCTCGGCTTCATCGACCTCGGGTGCCGCCTCAGCTGTCGCATCAGCCGGGACCTCTCACGAGGCATTGCTCACTTTGACCTGGCACATCCCGAGCGATGGACCACATGGGTGATGATCCTAAAGAACTATCTCGGATGTTTACGGGTCACCGACGCAGGTATGAAGAGTGCCCATCTCATATGCCTTTGTGGGATGGATACCCTCCTCCTCCTGCAGGACCTAATCTCACCCAAAGAAGTAGAAGAGGAGTGTTTTGATGACCTCATCGCGACCCTCACAGCTCACCTCACTCCGAAGCCCACAAAGTTTGCAGAACAAATGGACTTTTTCGCTAAAGTCCAAGGCCCGGAGGAGAAAGCTGCCGAGTTCCTGGCCAGCCTTCGAAGGGCCGCCACGCAGTGTGCTTTCCCCAGCCTGGAAGACACACTGCTTAACCAGTTCCTGGTGGGCCTTCGAGAGGCAAAATTGAGGAGGCGCCTGATCAGAGAGGACGACCTCACGCTGGCCCGGGCCTTAAAGGACGCGGCGGCTTTCGAAAAAGCGCATCCAGGCCGCAGCGGACACTAGGTCCATCGCACCCAAACCGTTGTGGAGTCGGCCGACTCCGAGGAGGACGAGGTCCTGCAAATCCATCGTAAACCCTCGCAACCGCACCGCTTGAGAGGAGCCCCGCCAACGAGGACATCTGAGCCAGCCCCACCATGTGCCAGCTGTGGAGAGGCGCATGAGCGCTGGAACTGCCGTTTCCGGGACGCCGTCTGCCGGGCCTGAAACAAGCAAGGCCACATTGCGAGGGTCTGCCACGGCCGCCAACAGCAAAACAAGAAGTCGACACACCAGGCAGAGCCCATCCACACCGTGGATCTCCACTCCATCAACCTCCACACCGTTTCCCATCAGCCCCAGCCCCAGCCCCAGGTAGGTGAAGTGCTCCGGGACGGCCGAAACAAAATCCACGTTTCGGTCCGTATAGAGGGGTCCCCCTGTAGCATGGAGCTTGATACTGGCTCCGAGTTCACTATCATCTCGGAGGAGACACTGCGGAGAGTGTGTCCCAAGGGGGGGGGGGCCCTCTGCGCAAGCCACACTTTAAACTACAGGATTTTAATAAGAATCCAGTGGCTATACGGGGCTGGGGCAAATTCAAGGTGGAGTTCCAGGACTTTAAGGGAGAGCTAGAGATTCTGGTGGTGGGCGGCTGGCTTTCCAGCCTCCTGGGCATGTCTTGGTTTAAGCCGCTGGGTTTGACCATCAGGGGGCTCCACCAGCTCAACCAGTTGCAGAGTCTCGATTTCATGGCCGTGTGAAACGAGTTTCTGCGGGTTTTCGATGGTTCCCTCGGCAGGTTCACGGGGCCACCCATCTGCCTGGACCTGGATCCAGCAGTCCGCCCCGTCCGGATAAAGGCCAGACATCCTCCCCTCACGATGAGGCCAAGGATCGAGGCGGAACTGGACCGGCTGGTAGCCCAAGGGGTGCTGGAGCCAGTCGCGTCGGCCCGTTGGGAGACCCCAATCGTCACACCGGTGAAGCCTAATGGGGACGTCAGGATCTGCGCTGTCTACAAGTGCACACTGAACAAGGCCTACCCCATGCCGGTGGTCAGCCATGTGCTGGCAGCGCTTGCGGGGGCCCGCATCTTCGGAAAGCTGGACTTGGCGCAGGCCTACCAGCAGTTGCCGGTGGACGCCGCCACGGCGGAAGCCCAGACTATTGCCATGCACAAGGGGGCTTTCAAGGTCCACCGGCTCCAGTTCGGTGTTTCAGTGGCGCCAGGGATTTTTCAATCTTTTATGGATTCTCTCCTTAAAGGTATCCCGGGAGTGCAACCCTTTTTAGATGATGTGCTGATCGCCGCCCCCGATGCCGCCTCCTTCGCTGACCACCTCCGCACTGTTCTCCAACGCTTCGACCAGGCCAGGCTGAAGGTGAAACGAGAAAAGTGCTTGCTGGGAGTCCCCAAAGTGGAGTTCCTGGGGTTCGCGGTAGACGCACAGGGCATCCATCCCATGGCAGAGAAAACAGCAGCGATCTCCAACGCTCCCGCCCCCACATCAAAAACCGAACTGCAGGCCTTCTTAGGCCTACTAAATTTTTATCATTCCTTTCTCCCTTTGAAAGCAGCGGTAGCAGAGCCCCTCCACAGGCTTCTCGACAAGGGCGCGCCATGGGTCTGGGGACCGGCTCAGGCGGAGGCATTCCGGGCGGTGAAGGAACTCCTCATCTTCAACTCGGTCCTCGCCCACTTTAATGAAGAGCTACCAGTGGTCCTGGCCTGCGACGCATCCCCGTACGGGGTCGGGGCGGTCCTGGGGCATAAGCTGCCGGATGGCCGGGAGGTCCCAGTGGCCTACTACTCCCGGACCTTATCGGCAGCTGAGCGCAATAATGCGCAAATTGATAAGGAGGCGCTTGCGATTGTGGCCGGGGTGAAAAAATTTCACCACTACCTCTACGGCTGGCCCTTCACGGTCTTAACGGACCACAAGCCGCTCCTAGGATTGCTCGTCCCAGACCGCCAGACCCCCCAGATGACCTCGCCACGAGTGATCAGGTGGTCCATTTTCCTGGCAGGCTATAACTACGCGCTCCTACACCGCCCCGGGAAAGCGATGGGACACGCCGACACTTTGAGCTGCCTACCTCTGCTTGCGATGGATCCGGACCCGGGCCCAGCCCACCAGATTGTGCTTCTGGAGACCCTGCCCGACCAACCTGTCCATGTGCGAGAGGTGGCCCGTCGCACCGCCCGGGACCCGACCCTCTGCCGCGTCCTGGACTGGGTGAGAAGGGGGTGGCCGGTGGTCACTGCGGGGCCAGAATTCACGGCCTACGCCTCTCGTAAGGATGAACTGTCCGCGCACAAGGGTTGTGTGATGTGGGGAGGCTGGGTGGTGACCCCTCCCCCTCTCTGAGATCGGGTGCTGGCAGCACTGCACGAGGCTCACCCAGGCGTGATGCGGATGAAAGCCCTGGCTCGGAGTTATGTGTGGTGGCCAGGCCTCGATCAGGACATTGAGGGACAGGTGAAACAATGCCAGCCCTGCCAGGCCTCCTGGCCAGCACCTCCTCGAGCGCCTGCGCGGGCTTGGGAGTCCTCACACAAACCCTGGTCCAGGCTACACTTGGACTTTGCGGGGCCGTTCCAGGGACAAATCTTTTTCATCCTGGTCGCCGCCTACAGCGTGGTGACCGGGCCGTCAACCTCCTCCAAGGCGGCCATCAGAGTGATGCGGCACATCTTCAGCGCCCAAGGTCTTCCGGATACCCTGGTGACGGACAACGGGACGGCTTTTTCCTCCAGCGAGTTCCAGGACTTCACGAGGTACTGCGGGATTCGCCACGTCCGGTCAGCGCCGTTCCACCCGGCTACCAACGGTCAGGCGGAGCGCATGGTGCGCACCACCAAAGAAGCGCTTCGCAGGTTCGACAGCAAGGACTGGGACTACAAGTTGGCAGTGTTCCTGTTTGGCCAGTGTACGACCCCCCACACCGAGACTGGTCGCAGCCCGGCTGAGCTCCTGTTAGGTCGCCGCCTAACCTCCAGGCTGGACCGGCTACATCCGGATCGGGCCCCCGAGGAGGAACCGACAACGGAGTCACACCCAGCCATGAAGGGGTTCTTCCCGGAAGACCCAGTCTACGCCAGGAACTACGCGCTAGGGCCACCCTGGATCCCCACTCGAGTCATACGGGTGCGAGGACCTCGATCCTACGAGGTCTCCTGCGAGGACGGCCAACTGCTCCACCGCCACATCGACCAACTGCGGCAACGGGTCCTCCCGAACAATCCCGAGGACCTAG